CAGAGGAGTTCCTCATTTCTCTGCAATCCCTGGTGACTGCTGAAGCCAGCACAGAGCTGTCAGTGTGTTATGGATAGAGTGTGAGGGCTCTGCTGGTCACAGGAGCTGGGCTCAGCATTGCAAAAGTGAGAAACTGAAGTTCCATCTCAGGGAAAAAGAAATTTAGCATTACTGCCAGGAATTGAACCTTGCAGCCCTGCCTTGACCCCCTGGATTGAATGGAGCAAAGATGTTGTTGCTTCAGGGTGTGATGAAATGGTGGAGAGACCCTGCAAGAGGCAGGAGCACAGAAAGCAGAGATGTGAGGTGAGAGCTGGCTGGTGTGTGTCATTGCATTGCCATCCCTGTCCAGTGGAGACCTCCATCTCTTTAATCAGAAAGCCCAGTACTTGGATTGAACATCCTGGTGTGGCCAATGCAATGATTTCCCTTCCTCCTTCCATATCACTGTACAGTGGGGCGAGTCTTTGTTAGAGCTGTGCTCAGCCCCTTTCACAAATTAATAGGTGGCATAGGATGAAAAAACATCACAGGGATCACACATCTCAGTCCTGCAAACCCCCAGGGCTCAGTTCCAGCACAGGGAGCCGAGCCCTCGGGATACATCAGGATGGAGTGATTGAGAGAATAAAGAGGAAAGCAAACGGCGGCTGTTCCTGTTGGGTCCCCGAGCTGAGGGCAAGCCGCCATGAGTCATCATGAAACCATCTGCGTGTCGAGGAGACACACGGGGCTCAGTGCAGCCCGACACACTCGCATGGGAAGGAGCTTCGCCTAAAACCGGCGGCTTGATGAGAACCACTGCCCCCCGCAGGGCCCTGAGCTGCTGCAGGGGCAATGGGAGGAATCGCTTTGCTTTGCACATCCCACTGTCCAACCCTGGTGCTTTGCACATCCCATCGCCCAGCCCTGGGGTAGCAGCTGCAGATGTAATGGGAGGAATGGCTTTGCACATCCCCTAGCCCCTCATACCCATTGGTTTTGCTCGTGATGCTCCTTCTGCTGTGCTTGGTTTCTGGGACAGCTGCAGTAGGGCTGCTTTCCTGGGCTTGGATCTGTGCTGGAAAAAGAGACAGAGTGCTCAGCTCTGCTCTGTAACACTTCAGCATTGTCAGTAACTATTAAAGGCAGTGCAACAGGGTGGAAATGGGCAGGTAGAGGGCTTTAGCAGCACTTTTGTAGGGATGTTTTGATATATGTTGAGCCCTTTCTTTTTTTCTATTTGCCTTGCATCTTGCTACGCTCTTCAGAAAGAAAGGAGTTGGTGATAGGAACCTGCAAAGCACCGATTTCAGTCACATGGGGCTAAAATCTAGGGCACAGAGAGGCATTAGCATGGCCCAAAAAGTTTAAAAAAACCCCATTAAATAACAAGTGTTAACTGTAACCACAACTGAAATCGGGAGAGTTCCAAAAGCTTTTGCAGTTTTGATTTTGTCTTTTTGGTGCTTCGGTACCCTCATGGCACTGAAATTTGGGTCCCCATCCTGTGTGGCCATTTGAAATGGTGCTGATGCCCAAAGGCACGCTTCCTCCCTGTTAGCAGAAGAGTGGCTTTCAGGAAAGGTTCCAAAGAGGATAAGATGGAAAAAAAAAACAGAAGGAATTTCTGCTCCAGTCATGGGCAATCTGATGCATTTCCTTGGTGTGTTCCCCGTTTGAAGTGTTATTTGCTTATGGAGTAGGGAAAAGCTAATGCTTGGGTATCCCAAAGTCCTCTGGAGTTTGTGTGCTCGCATGTGAGCGATGGAACTGAAGCAGTGGTGCAACCACGACCGTTTCAGCTGTGCAAACCCTGCATGGATGCTCTCCCTCTCTTCTCTCTGTGCTCTCCTCAAATCCAGGTGTCTTTCTGATGTAGAAGGGAAGGGATGGAGCGGCCACCCTCATGGCAGCACCTCATAGAACTGCTGGTGCCCACAGCAGTGATTCACCCGCACAGCTCGCCTGTTTCACCATTAAATCATCTGACACTGGGGTTGTGCAAGCCTGGACTTTGCTGGTTGTCCCTATCCCTGCTTCCGTGCCTCAGTGTGTGCCCTTGTGCTCGAAGCATGGGCTGCTTTGCTGGGCTTTTAGGGAGGAAAATAAAGATTAGGAGCATGTTCTTGGCTTTGCTGTTGGAAGGAAGCCCTGTTGGTGGGTCGCAGTGGGAGCTGGGTGCAGCATTGGCTGCATGGTGGCAGCTCAGGTCAACTGCTCTGCTGAGTCTGTGTTCTGGTTGGTTCCTCAAGTCCTGCATTGCTTCACCCTGTGGGAGCTGAGGCTCTGGTGAACATCATCCTCCAATTCTTTTCCCATAGGGTTTAATGGTTATTTCTACTGTTTTAACTCCTACATGGTTTGTCAGCGTGCAACCAATACCAGACTGCAATCTTTGCAGCAGCACGGCTGCCTGGCTGGAAGAGGTCATGCAGTGGGGATGGGGCTCAAGGAGCCCTCAGGCAGTGGGGTTTTGCTCTCAGGAAAAAAAGAAAAGAGATACCCAGTGAGGAAACCATTTGCTTCCGTGGGATAAGAAATAAAACCAACAAACCAAACAAGCAGAAAACCACCGCCTGTGAGAGATGTGACAGTCCCACGCTGTTACTGTAACACCCAGACAGACTGAGATTGGCAGGTACTACATCAGCACTACGTGGTGTGGGATAATGAATGCAGCACCGCAGCCAGAATACGGCACAGCACATCTTGGGGGGCACGAGCAGCTGCAATGCCAAAGCCCTGCTATATAGAATACACATTCTGTTGTATTTCTCCATAAGGGCTGATGTTTGAGGTGTGTGCTGGTGGGTTTGGGGCACCCAGTGGGCTGCAACCTGTCCTGATGCATGCAGCACATGTAGGGGCAGGATGCAGCCTGCATGGTGCATGTGCCACGTTCTGCTTTGAGGTGGGTGTGAGTCACAGCTGTGACTTGGGATGGTCCTGCTGTGTCACATTGCATGCTGCTGTTTATTCTTCCTCCTTTTTTTTTTTTGTCCAGCAGTGGGAGAGACTGCTGTGGATAGGGATGGCCAGAGGGCACAGCCAGAAGTGACTCACAGCATTGCTCCTCTGCTGGCACTGTCATCGTCAGTGAGGGATTCTGGCTTTGGTTGCCCAGACAACATCTGCAGGGATTTCCAGAGCCTCCTTCTAAAAACTCCTTGGGGATGAGACATGCACAGTCACAGGTTTGTGTGTTTCATCCACCAGGTCAGCATCCCGTCTCAGATATCCCTGTGTTTTGGTGACAAAACAGCACAGACACACAGCCTGCACGCAGCCCCAGCCCTTGGGTGTCACAGCTGTGCTCTGTGTCCTGCATCGAGCTGCTCCAGCAGCTCAGGTAACTGGAAACCTTCCTGCTCTGTACAGTACGAGGCATCCCATCCGCTTCCTTCCTGTGGTTATTTCAGCAGAGTGACTGAGCTTAACTGAAAAACTCACCGCCAAGCTGACTCAGCCTTTTCCCTAGGCAGGGGCAGGTGCTGAGCTCCTTGGGCTCCTGCCTGGAACTGCTGTGTGCCCAGGGGAGACAAGTCGTGTGGAAGGGGTGAAATTGCAGAGGTGGATATTGGCTGGTGTTGGCGTGGGGTGGAGGTGGTATCTCCTGTCTGACCTGGGCTCAAGGCCTCGTCCTGATGGAGAGCAAAGTGAAGCCGTAGGATCATTGAGTTGGAAAAGGCTGTAGGACGGCCAGGTTCAACCCCACCCCATCCATACTCTGCACACTGACTGCATCCCTCATTGCCACCTATGGACTGCATGGAGCAGAGTTTCTCTGCCATAACACAGTGGCAAAGGGGTTTGTCCCAGTGAATATTTCATTGGAAACTTGCATTTAAATGTGAGTCCCCTGTGTCTTCTTGCTTCTCTGATCATTAATGCATGCCATGAGTCCTTGGTGATCCTCCCTGCATGCACCCTTTCCCCATTGCCTCCATACATTGGTGATGCTGTACAGCCAGCTTAACAGCTTGGAAGAACAGAGGAGAGCCTTTGTTTGCCACAAGGTCTTTATTAGCAAAAATAATATCTTTCTTTCCATGCAAATTGATGGTGCATCCCACACAGTGACAGCAGCTGGGGCTGTGCCCACTTCCAGTGAGGATCCAGCAGTGCCCTGAGCCAACGGCACTGCACTGGGAATGCTTCCCATGGGGATGCCCTTCCATCTCCATGCGCACCAAAACAGAACAAATCACATATAAATAGTCACTTTTCAGCAGTAATTTACAAAGTACAGGAAAGCAAACAGCAAACTGGCTGCGTTTCATCGTCCTGGTGCACAAACACTTCTAAATATTAGAAGCAAATGCCCTCCAGGTCTTGGGATGTTCCTCCAACTCCTCTTGCAAATTAGAAACGAAACCAAGTATTGCCAGTGCTGCATGCGGCTCTATGGATTTGAATACAAATTACTCAACCCACCTTAAAATGGTGGTGAATTAAATATCCTCTAGCTTCTAAAAGTTAAAATATATATATATATATTAAACACTAAATAAAACTCAACCAAAGACTGAAAACTACCTGAGTTAATTCTTCAAAGTGCAGAGTGTCCAACCCAGCAGCTCTGGAAGCCAGTCGACAGCGGCCTCTAAATCAAGTTCTATTAGAACCAACTGCTTAATTCCTACCATTAATTCTCTTTGACCTGGAACATCATACAGGCTGGGGGAAATAGCCAGGGTTAATTGAGCTATTGCTGAGGCAGTCACGAATTGTTTGCTCTCCTCCACACGGCTTTCCATGCAAAGCAGGAGAAAACCAACCTGCTTTCTGTTATTTCTGGTCGTTTTGCTCAGTGCAAGGCCGTGTGATAATTCTGAATGTCTCAGTGCCCAATTGCAAGGGCAAAACCAGAGATGGGGACGTGGCTACGGAAAGAAAGAGCTGATTGCTTAAATAAATCATAGCTGCAAAGAAGAGGAGCAGAGGGCTCAGCTGGTGTTTGCAGTTGGGCTTTGCTGAGCCCTGAGCTGGGTTTGCTGCTGCCCAACGACTGTGCTCAGAGCAATTGCATTCAGGGTGAACTCGGCTCATTCCCCAGAGGGATGGGAGCTCTGAAGCGACAAATACCACAGCGCTATCATAAATGGTACAAAGCACTGACCAATAAATAGTTCACAAACCAATAACACAACGTTGTAAACAATAAATAGTTCACAAACCAAAACACACTGAGAAAAAAAGAAATAAATATTAAATTCATTTGGAAGGGAAAAAAAAACAACAACCACTTAAATAGAAAACTGAACGTCAAGCTGCCACTGAGCTGTAAGCCTTGGGCTGAACCCCAGCACAGCACGGCGTGCTTCGTAACACCAAGGGTTGGGCTGAGAGCAGCCGCGTGCGCTCACTTCCTCCTCCTCATCAGCAGGTACTCCTCGATGTAGTTGATGAAGATGTCGAACTCCCCCATGGCTTTGTAGATCCCGTTCTCATCCATCTGCAGGTGAAAGGCAGCCCGTGATTCATCGGCTGCACGCGCGGTGCAGAATCCCCAGCTGTGCTCTGCTTCCACCGAAACCTCCGCTCTCTCCCCACCCACTGAAGGAACGCAGCGGCTGCTCTGAGCTGAGCTGCGCTGCGTCGGCACAACTTTGGCACCCTCTGAGTGCGTGGATCCAGCAGCAAAACCGCCCTGCAGGCACCCACCTTCTCGAACGTCTCCTTGATCTGCTTGATGGCTTTGCTCCTCTTCTCGCAGGTGAAGAAGCGGTGCTGCAGAGGTGAGAGGCGGTGCGTTAACTCAGGGCTGTTCCTTCCTGCTGCTCCTGGGGTGACTCAGCCCATGCTGCGTGGTCACGGCAGCTCCAGCAGTGAGGATGCCAGTGCATGCAGGTAAGGGCTGCGTTCCCCACCCTCTCCCCCTATGCTCTGTTAGACTGCATCAAATGGTGCTCTGAGCATCCTCCCTGTTGCTCTGATTATCAGGTATAGAGAAGGGCAAGGAGAAATGCCACCCCAATGGGGTTTTGCTTGTTCTAATTGCTCTGCCCCCCTGGCTCCTGGCCCCATCTCTCTTTCCCAGGAAGACCCAGGGACCATTCCTGCAGTACAGAGCCCACTCACACAGCGCCTCATCGTTGTCTTCAGGTTCAGCAGCATGCTGCCCAGGTCGCCCATGCTCTGCTGGTGGCTGGTGCTGGTCTTCATGGCACGGGGCAGAACCTCATCTGTGTAGAAGCGCAGCATCTCTGACACTGACTGGCAGCCAAAGTTCCCCTGGAGGGGAGGAGAGAGTAAGCTGATGGCAATGCTTTTGCAATCTGAACCCCAGCAACACTGCTCAGAGGCTGGGGATGAGTGTGCATCAGCCCTGCTGCAGGCACCTTGCTGGAAGGAGGGTCCATGGGCTGCATGTGACAGTGGGAAATATCCCGAATTAGGATCATTTTCCTTTGGTGGAAGGATGCAGAAGGGCAGTGGACTTGCACTGAAATAGTAATCCTTACCTTAAATTCATCCAGCAGTTCAGAGCTGAGCAGTTGGATGTTAAGTTCATCGTCTCTGGATTGCTGTAGGAGAATGCAATAGAAGAAGTGCTTTATGCAGGCAGCTGTGTTTTCCTCTTTGCCTCACTGGAGGACTGCTCTGCCTGCTTGCATTTATGCTTTAACCCCACTGCTGGCATCCCTTGAGTCCCCTTTTGCAGGGGCTATCTGTTCCTCCAACTCCTGAGCCCAGGCTGAGCTGATGCTGCGCAGAGCATCACCCCATGGCACCAAAGTGCTCAACAGCTTTTCTGAGAGGTAAGAAACTTTCATTCCTGATATTAATTGAAAGACTTGCAGCAGGCTTGAAGTCTTAAATCCCACTGATCGTGTTAATTTAATAATTAAACAAGCCATGCCACTCATCTGGCTTTTAATCCAGAGAGTTATGTTCCTGTATTGCTAAAGCATGCTGGCAATAGCTGAAGGAGGAACCCTGGGGTGAGCACCCATCCCTGCAGCCCCGCAGCACCAGCGGGTGCTCAGTGCTGCTCTGTATGCAAAGCACTGAGATTTGTCACAAGGCAATCACTCAGGCTTCTGTGGCTCTGTCAGAGAAAGTCTGTAGCAAAAGGTTTCCCTTTTCAGACAGTGCTGGCTTCAGTGAGGCCGGAGCTCATTGCCCTGAAGAATTTAATCCCTTGCTGCTAAGTCAGTGCATGATTTGCTCTGCAACTTTTAGGGGGAAGTCTGCACAATAAGGCTTGCATTATGAAATCTCTCGAGTTCATTATAACTAAAACCAGGAAGAAAAGCCTTTTGTGTTATCTCTCAGCAAGCAGCGAAACCAGAGGGCAGCCCATAGCGCAGCACACGGCCAAATCTCTTCTGCCCAGAGCAACCTGCTGTCCCCTCATCCAAACCACTCAACTCTGCAAAATAACCCCACGAAACAGAAGGAGGTGTCATACTTACAAAATAGTCCTTGATTTCCTCAAACTTCACTCTCAGCTCCCGCAGCCGGACGGGCAGCAGCTCGGAGGAGTGCGGGCAGCTGGGCTCCAAGCAGTGGGCAGGCAGGGTGCAAGCAGCCAGCAGCAGCAGCAGGGCCTGGCAGCACGTCTGCATCCTGGGGTGTTTATTCTGCTGCTGCCCTTGGTTGGGTGCCACTGGAGGGCAAAGCACAGCTCTGCAGGCTTCACCTTGATGGAGCCCCTCATTTATACTCTCAAAGCATCTCAGTTTCCTTTCCCCGCTTCCTGACGAGTGATATTAAGGGTATAAGTCACTCACTCAATAAACCCAAATGTCACTTGGGTTTCCCGTCAACTTTGGGTTTCCTGTTCTCTTGACCCCCCTCCCCTCCTCACTACCCATCAAATCTTTTGTGCTTAGACTCTGCATTTTTTTTTTTTTCTATTGCTTGCTTCTTGTAAATCTAAATGAGGCGACAGATACAAAGCGAAGAAGGAAAGGTGCTGTGTGAGCTCACATCTGCATTTCACAGCCACTTTTTATTTTTAGAAGAATGCTCTGCTCTCGGGGGAAAAAGTGTTTCTATATTTAAGTCTCTCTACAGGTTGACACCTCTGATCCCCAGCACTGAGCATCACCCAGCAGCACTGCGTTCAGTGAACCTGTCCAGGTGCTCCTCACTCCAGCATTGCTCTTCCCCAACCTGCTCAGACACTGTCACCTCCTTTAGACCTGTGATGCAAGCATGCAACACTGTGAATCTTTCTTCCTCTTTCTTTTTAATGGAGTTAAAACAAAGTCAGTGTGATGCTCCAGCTCTCAGCCGATGTTTTACCCAGGCATTACCACGGTCAGCCCTGTGCACAGCGCATGGAGACACAATGGGGACTTGGGCTCCTGGTGTCAGTTCTGCATGCTTCCCTGCTAGTAATGATAGCAACTATCACTTTCTTGAAGTGTTTCCTAGCAGCACGTGCTGAGTTTTATTGCACTGTATCATGGGACCCGCTCTTTGCACATTGATGTGCTCTGCTCACGTGTCCAAGCTGGACACGAAACCTTTTCTTTCTTGTTCTTGCATGCAATTTTGTTTCCAAGAAATGGACAACAGTCTCAGCTGAGCCCCCAGCTCCATGAACCGGGTGTGCTCTCCTCCCCACTGATAAAAGTGACCATTGCAGTGCTGAAGATAACTCCACTGACGTCTCTCTTCCGTTTTCCTTTCTTTCATGCTCTCTTTCTGCACAACTTTATACTTGTTTCCTTTTGGTGATAAGGCTGTTATCCAAGAAAGAGAAAGCAGAGATTAACTTGGCCCTTCTGGGGGCTTCTTTGAAGGCTTTTCTGCTATTTGGAAGTGGCATTCTCTTTATGCTGCCTCCAGCTTATTGCCTGGGACAAATCACTCCGATTCTCATTTCTTTCACTGCCCTGAGCCTCCTTCAGTGTGAATTTGCAGACCTCTGTGAAGGAGCGTGTTACAACTAACGCTGGAAAAAATGCAAAGCATTCCTTATACCATATATTTAGATTTCATTTAGAAAATGAAAGAGAGGAAAGTTTTGTGTTAGAACATGCATGAGTAAGGGCAGATGAATTATGTATTTGTAATCAGGTGAGGTAACTTCTCCAAACACAGCAGCGAGGGGTTTTGCCTGGTTTGTTTTCCTTCTGTTGGTGTTGCACCTTTCCCAAGGGCTGGGAGGGAGAGTTTTCCCAGTGAATCACCGCATGGGCACAGAACTTCTATTTGAATCAGAGCGCGTCATGGAGACTGTGCCCCGCTTTTCTTCCCCTGTTTGCGTGCCTCGGCGTGGTTTCTTCCCTTGACCACCAGCAATGAGGTTTGGAGGCCATGAGGAAGGAGAAGGGCAGCAGCTGACTCAGACCAAAATGTGTGGTGTTAAACATAACCCGTGTCACTGTGGTGTCTCACAGCTCTGTGCTTTCACCCCAAGCTGCAAGATCTTATTTTGCATTCACTCCAAGCTGCCTCAGGTTGGTAGAGCCGTGCGAGCAGGACCCGGTGGCCTCTGAGTTCCATGGGGAAACCAAAAAACCAAAACCTGAAGTGGCAGCACCTGGATCTCACCCCGTTCTCTGCGTATGTGCAGCTGGGGCCAAAGCGGTGATTTCAAGCCCCCTGGGTCGGTGCAGTTGGGGGAACCCTGCTTGCAGACCGTGCCACGCTTGCAGGGCGGCTCAGCGCTGCGCTCGCGGCTCGGCGTCGGCATGGCGAGGCTCGGGCTCTGGCCATGGTGCTGACTGAGGGGTCCCGGCCCGGGGTCGTCCCACACTTTCCTTCCTGCCCGAGAGCTGAGCTCGTGTTTCCAAACTTCCCTTCTTCTCAGCAATCGTTGCTCTCCGTGAAGTCATCTCGGTTCGACACCCAGACCATACTGAGCAGCTCCCTTATGCAGTTCCCTCCTCCCTGTTTTGGAACCTGCTTTGTTTTTCAGCTGCACAGCGTGTAAGCCAGTTGCGTCCATTCCACAAAGGAAACTGCCCTGCGCACGCACGATGCTCGCTGTGTTTACCTGTGTTTCCTTCGCCATGGCAGAGATTTTGACGGTGCAGTTTCGCTCTGACTCACCACTGCTTACTGCTGTGGAAACGCATTGACTCTGCAGTACTACGAAGCATTTGCATGAATGAATAAAGCACCTTTCCTAAAGAGTGTCCGAGGACGTGGGTGTATTTCTAAACCTTTAGGAAACAGCTTTCATGATTGCCAAGAAGATCATTTCAGGAAGGAAATGTTACTCAAAAGCCTTTTGCACTCTTTGATGCTGGCAGCTTCCATAGGGGCAACTTCTCCCATTTTTTTTCCCCCCTGGGTCTCAATCATTGCCTTTGGACAAGGGAACATGGTGTATTTTATGCACTATTATAGATACAGCTGCAGGAATTGCCTAGATCTCCAGGCTGCTTAGCAGCATGTTTCTTACCCCAAATTCCCCACTTCTCATCCATTTCTATTTGCTGTCAGTGACGCCAGGGAAGTGGAGGCTTTGCTGCCCTTCATTCACCCACTACGAAACACCCATTGGCTCTCTTGGCAGCACCCTCTCTGATGACTAACAGTTCCTGACACATGAAACACATTGCTTTTCCTTCATGATCTTTTGCTGGCAAGGTACAAAATTGGACTTTTCACTTCTGGAAAGCAGCTTTCTAGCACTTGTTGGAATTTGCAGCTTGACTCATCCCAACCTCAACAGGTAAATCCCAAATTACTCGATGGCAATTTAACCCACGTCATTAATTGTATCGTCATGTAACCTCTAAGAGTCCCAGAATCGATTACTAATCATGAATAGACACTTTGTTGTGACCTCTAATGCAACTTCTACTATGACACAGTCTTACATAAGAATTTCTTGGTAGGTCCTGAACTTCCATCTGAACTAAACAAAACTGGAATCCTATCCTAAAGACATTGGGCAATGGAGATTTTGAACTTGCGATATCTTTTCCAATGAGGTGAAGGAGCGAGCTCTCAAAAGTCATAGAACTGAATTTCTAAGTAGAGTCTAAATAGAATTTCTAACTGGAGTTTCTAGAGTCATTAGGAATGGTGCTGAGCACTGTTCAGTGCTGTGTTGTTTAACCAGCAGCAGCTCAGCACCAAACAGCCCATCACCCAGTGGGATGGGGGAGAGAATTGGAGAAAAGAAAGAAAGAAGTAGAGATAAAGTAGAAATTAACTGTTTTCTAAGGTAGAAAAAGAAGAAAGCAGCAGCAGTAATGATGACAATAATGTATACCTAAGGAAGTGATGCAGAATGCAGTTGCTCACCACCTGCTGATCGATGCCCAACCAGTACCTGAGCAGCAGCTGCCACCTAGCCAGCTCTCCTCTGTTTTATAGCTTTCAGCAAGATGTCATATGACACGGCACATACCTTTGGCCAATTAGATCATCATCCCTCCCTACACCCCTCACTCCTTGTCTCCTTGTGCACTCCAGCTCATTTCCTGCAGGAGAATAGAGAGTACAAGAAGCTGGAAGACTGAAACACCCCTGACTGTGCAGCACTGCCCAGCAATGTCTAAAAGATCAGTGTATTACTAATATAGTTTTTCTCCTCATCTCAGACACTGTGAAGGAAATCATCTCTGCCAGCAGGTGTAAGACCAGCATGTCATGGTGAGCTGCAGCTGACAGCACCTTGGCGGTGCCACCTTCCCAGCCCTGCGCTCCCAAATGCTGGGCATGAAGCCGTGGGGTTTTTTTTTGCTCATTGCATGCAGCAAAGCAATTGAGAAATCCTGGGTTTTCTCTGCCAGCCCATAATGTTCAGAGCAGCACGTGCTGGTTGTGATGTACTGTGGGCACGCGTTGTGCCCGTCACCCCACAGCCCCTGGGATTCCCCCCGTGCCACTGTCACCTGCCCCCAATGGCAGTGGGACGGAGTGGGGGGGACTGCCCATCTAGCATTGCTGTGAACTGGGCACGGGTTTTGGTGACATGGTATCATTGGACAGAATGTGGTGTCCGAGTCAGGCTGAATTACAGCTGATATTTCCAAGGCAAAGCCAAGGAATGAGTTTCACGATGCAGATTCCCAGTAAAGTCACCCCAGATTTGCTGCTGGCACTTCTGCTCCTTCAGAAAACAATGCAGGAAAATAGAATTGCTCAAGTTTTTCATTCTCTTGCATTTTCTTATTTTAAGCTGACAGCCTGAATTTAGCAGCCACTTTTTAGTTCCCCCAAACTGGGAGATACATGGTGACCGTAGGCTGCACTTTGCTTCTGTGCAACCTAATCAGCATTTGACCCCCTGTGTCAAATGTAGGCAGAGATTTCTGAAAAAATATAATGTCCACACGAATGCAAGCATTCTCATTAAATGTAAAGTACTTCCTGCTGGGTGCTTAGAGTGCAAACATGCAAAGATCAGCAAGAGGAGAGCTGCAGCAGCACTGCTTTCCATGTCCCTTTGGGCATCTGTAAGTGGGAAGTTGGAGATGAATCTGAATGGTGGAAACCCCCCCAGTGCTGAAATAAAAGCTTAAAAAAAGAAGGGGAGGGGGGGAGGGGGGTGGAAAGAAGAAGAAAACAAATCAGAAGTGAACTTCCCCCACTGGCTGCTGCCTGCTTGGGACAGAGAAGCGTGGCCATTTGTTTTCTTTTCCTTCTGTCTGACCACATGTTTCCAAAACTGTGAAGTCGAGGAAGAGCTTTTG